CCGACCCAGACAATATTTGAGTCGAAACGAGGAATCAAACCTTACGTCACCGTTTTGATTGGAAGAAGACGAATCGGTATTTTACAATTTCTTCCAGAGACTTCTTTCCAGCTGAAGCAGCTCCTCCGCTTGCTCTGTGGATCCTTCCGCTCCGGTGAGTTTCCGCTGAACGACTACCGTTTTATTCCTTTAAAAACCTGTGCATGCAACTTTCCTTCTGATTTTATCCGTTCGTGTCCAACGCCTGGGCGTCGTTTGGTAAAGTGGATTCTCCCTTCTTTTTACTTGTCACACTTCACTCATTATTTTCTTTCCTTTTATTTTTTGGTGAAGTTTTGGTTCCTTTTCTTCGAAATTACTAGAAGCTAATGCATTTACTGGATGCCAGAAAACTATATATATATATATATATATATAAATATACGTATGTATGTATGTATGTATGTATGTACGTACGTATGTATCTGTGTGCTTTGAAGGAAGGAGGATATTTTGTGATTGTAAAATCTGGAATGATTTGGTGGGTTAGGAACTGATTAGGGAGTTAATATAGCTTTTAATTGTTGCATGCAAGAATTGGGTATTAAGTAAAATGCACTCAACACCTAAAAAGCTTCCAACTTTATTAAAAGGGGTTTTGATCGGAGCACTTGTTTCTGTGATTGATCATGGATTCATGCCCTTTTTTGCAATTTTTTGAACTCATAGGAACGATTCTTTGTTGGTTAACTAACGGCGAACGCAGTTTGATTGTTATGGCTATTTGCTTGTGGAATCGTAGTAAAAGATAATCTTCGTATTCGTGGGTTTAACTAAGAAATTGAGAATGTTGATAAAATATACAGCATCCTTCTTGCAGATATCACTTATCGGGCTTGCATTCTTTTGATTGTTTGTATGTCTCAGTGTCCGTGCTTTTATTTGTTTCGGCAATCATTTTATTTGTTTGCGTCAAGTGCTAGACTCTGAGGAACAATTACTGCTGCTGTAGTCAAACATGGCGTCCCAACTTTTGAGATTTACCTGTAAAGCTGTAAAGATTATCTATAAAGTTTTTTCCAATTTGATTTTGAACTGATAAGATGGCATGTTACAAGGTAGTAAGGGAGTTATTTTACTTCACAAAATATATGATTTTTCTATCCACATGTGTTATACATCGAATTTGAATGTTATGTTTATTTCAAGGTGCTGCTACGTAAATGCTAGATGACAATCCCGTGTACTCCTGAGAATAAACAAAATATGGCATGCAGTTTATTATCCTTTTGCACTGATTGGGGATCATGTTCACCCCTTAAATTATGTCGATCTTTTTAGTTGTCTGATCATTTTAACTGTTGAATTAAGCTTATATTGTCGTAAAAATTTTGTTTCCGCACTCAGCTTTTTTAAAGGAGTTTGTGTCTCATCAGATTATTGCTGTAATTATTACACCTTTTTGATGTTGTATTTGCACTATTATTTGCTATCTGTAGAGTCATAGAGCTGCACGATGGGTCGAAGGAGAAATAAAAGGCGGAAGAAGGAGAAGCTTATGAATGTGGATTGGGCAGAGCTGCCACAGAGTATACTTGAGATTATCTTTGAGCGACTGCCTCTGATTGATTGTATCTCTGTTAGTGATGTTTGCAGAGCTTGGAGCAACGTTATTGGACAGGAACTTTCTTGCTGGCAAAGGCGTGGTGTCCCGTGGCTCATGATGTGTGGTGAGAAAGACAGACATGTAAGGACTTGTCTTAGCATATTACAGAATCAAGATTGGGAGATGGTGCTTCCTCAGGCTATTGGAAGATACTGTTGGGGATCATATCAAGATTGGTTGATTCTAGTGAAAGATGTCGATTGTTTCAACCTTGAGATTAGCTTGTTGAATCCATTCTCTAGGAAGAAAACTGATCTTCCCAAAACATGGAATTTTTATCACAAGATGGTTCTCTCAGCACTTCCTTCTGTTGAAAACTTTGTTTGCATGCTTGTCCATGGTCAACACCGGGAGCTTGCATTTTGTGTCCACGGAGCTCAATCATGGCTTAAACATAGGCTAGATGGTGAACCGTTTGAGGATGCTGTCTTCTCAGATGGAAGTTTCTATCTTCTAAGCAGTGATTATAACATTTCACAGATTAAGGTTACTGATGTGCTTGCTGCCATCAGAACAGATGATGATTGTGAGATAGAAACAGGTTGCCATGAAGTAAAAATGTCCGAGGAGCAGGAAGACGAGCAGGAAAATTACACTGTGCTGAAGTTCCTTGTGGAATCTTGTGGAGAGCTTCTCCTTGTTTGTAGGTTTTATAGCACCAAACCCAATGCTATTCTTGAAACACACGATTTCAAAGTATATAAGCTGGATTTCAGCCAGATGGCATGGAAGAGGGTACATGATTTGGGGGATCAAGTACTATTTCTAGGAAAATGTTGTTCGCGATCTGTTTCTTCGGGTGAACTTGGTGTTCCAATGACAAACCGTATCTACTTCTCTAATGATCATGCTGCGCCGTGGTGGAATGAATGGGATTCTAGTCATCTTTATGGAATTCCAGCTCGTTTTGACCCAGACAGAAGGGATTGGGGTGTGTTCAAGCTTGGCGACGACAATCAAGAGAATTTTCGGTTCCGTGGCAATACAGACTGTTGGGCGCCTGTTTGGTTCACTGCCCCCCAATGGTGGTGCTGTAGGAATCTGGCTCTTAGATGAAAGAAGTAACTTGTAAGTTAAGCATATCTGGGGCAGGCATGCCATGAAATGCGTACTCTCTTTTGCTATTTTGTTACAGTTTGCTAGCATATCATACAAGTGAAGGAGCTCTGTACAAAGCGATGAACTTACGTGGAACTGAGACGCTAAGGTGGTGGTATCCCAAACGCAGCAGGCGATGTTGACATGTTGGCAAGTTGAAACACACGGCGGCATGTGATAGGCTTGAGATACCACCATCTTGATGTCTCGGTTGCACGTAGGTTCCTCTTGGCTACAAGCTTTTATAATCTATATTGTCATGTAATGTAATTCGTGAACAAGATCTATCCCTTCGTGTGTGGTCCGTGCTTGCAGTAATTATATATTAGAGTTTTGGTCCAGTACAAATCTAGTCTGCTTTTACTTGCGGTAATTATATTTTTCAAAGTTAATTTGCCATCAAAGTGCTGTACAATGGTAGCACCTACATTCAATACACCAAATGTTATATCACATTTGGTGTATCGAGTCGTGATTTGTATTGTAGGAAGATGTTGTTGACACGTTTAGTAGATGTTTTTGTGGGGAAACGACAATGAATGGATAACCTTTTTGTGGAGGAAGATTATACAAATAATTAATTAATACAATTTGGTTAACATAACCATGACAATAAGCCATTTTATTAATCAGGAAAAAAGACATGAATATCTTGAGGAATTAAATCTTAATAAATATATAACAAGATTCGGAAGATGTTGTAACAAATCGAAATTGCTAATTGAATAATTAGTCAAAGTACGTATTGGAATTAGACACACCTTTAATATGATAAGATCCAACTGTGTTTGTGGGGGGCTTGACCAGTTGGTGGGTTTGGGAGGCTTATGAATATGTAAGGAGCAATTTTCGTTCTCCGGTTAAGTCGAACAAGATTGAAATTTTACATCACCAATTATATCTCACAATATTATAATATTGTGAAATTGTACATCATGTGATCATAAAAATTGGTCATATGCAATGACTGTGTGTTAATAGTATCCTTAAATTACATGGTACGTTGAGAGATTTGATCAAAAGATTAATAGCAAGTTTGAACAATTAAGAAAGCTTGAACAACTATATTGACTATTTTTAAGAAATAGATTTGTTTACTTTCTTGTAAAAATATAAATGAAAAATTACACTTTTCAAGGTGCACGATTATATTTGCATTCGATGAAAGAATTAGAATGTCAAAATCTCAATATTCGCCATAAGAACGAATACTTTAAGTTTAACGTTTTTATTAATATTATAAAATATTATACTAAAAATATAAATATAAATAAAATTAATAAAAAGTAGCATTTCTTTTTGCTTAAACCCTTTTGGAATTCGTTGCTTTCCTTTGTTTTTATGGCACTTGCATAAAAAGAAATTAAAAAAGAAAAACTAACAAAAAATTCAAAAAAATCTTTTATTTTAATGAAAAATGACAAATGAAGGTGTATTAGTTTCAAGAAAAGGTAAAAATATAATTTTTCGTTAAAAATAAAACAATGAGTGTTTCGTTAAAATTCTCGATCTAAAAACGTAGACACGATCAAGCACGTGAAGGCATCTTTCCTATCATGTTTATCACGTGACCGACACTTGTCTACAACGAAAAAGAAAATCAATATTTAGTTTTGGGAATTCTGAAGCGACATGACAGCACAAACAAGATAAAAATACAATATAAAAAAGATAACCCTCCCAAAGCGAAAATATAAAATAAAAATATTAGAACGTGGCAATTATTGCGGAAAAGTCCTAAGAGGCGCGTAACCTCACGCTTCCAAAAGGTCGTGGCTCTGAGTTGAGAAAGTCGAATGCGGATAAGAAGGAAAAAGACAGCTCCCCTCAGCAGGGCGAATCCCGCCATACACGTGTTCAACGTTTCCCTCCATCACACGTGTCAGCAGCTAGGTCCCTCACATCAATCACCGATCCGTGTGGCCTCCATGCCACCAATCGCAACCCTGTTTAGTAATCTTTTCCATTCCGTCATTAGATAACGCTCAAATCATGGCCCATTGATACCCGCACTCCCACACACACTCAAATTACCTCAATTGCCCTTGACTAACCATAAATTTGAAAGCTTCACAGCCATGTTCAACAAAAGACAAGATTGTAATTTTACAAACTGAGTGCCCCTATCGCATTAAGCCTTGGGCGCCCAAAGTTGTTGGTAATTTGATTTTTAATTATTTATATTTAACAATAAAGATTTTAAAAAAAATAAAAAAATAATTTTGTTCTTCTCCTACCCCTACGCGGTACCCATCCATTTATTCAGAACCTGCTTCACCGTTTGCTTTCTTTCTTTCGTCTTCCTCCCATCGCTTCCCTTTCCCCTCTTATTTTACCAAATTGCCCCTCAAAACCTACCCCATATCATCATCTTCTTCTTCCGCCAGATCCATTTCAGTCACAGCCTCCATTTTAGGGTTTTTCTGTTCCGACTCAGCCCCTGCAACTCTTGTCGTTTCTGCCGATCCGATTGCCCCAATTGTTCTCGATTAACCCTAATTTTGACAAACCCTAGAGGCGCCGATCCGCTAAATACCGTCGCCCAGTTGTTCTTGATTTGTTCCAATCCCGTTGACTCTGTTTCAGAGTTTAAGACGCTCTGCGCGCAGAGGGGGACCGGATTCAGGGTAGAGCAAGTTTCTGATTCGCCGTTCACGTGATGTTGAGTACTGGATTGCCGTTCACGCGCGGCCGAGGAGAGGATCGATTTTACAACCCGGCGAGAGCTCGTAGGGCCCACCAGAACCAGAAGGCGGAGCAACTTTGCAGAGCTCAGAGCGACGTCACGCCCAGCCCATCTCCTTCCTTGAAGGGTAACCCCAACCGGGAGCCGGAGAACCGGACCGGGTCTGATGAGCCGCCCAAGCCCATCGCCGTGCCTGCTTTTGAGCCCGTCGTGAAGCCCGTCGTGAAGCCCTTGAGTAATCTCCAGCGGTTCTTGCGGTCGATCTCTCCGTCCGTCCCGGCCCAGTGCCTTTCCAAGGTGTTTGCTTGAATATAATTTGTTTAACTTTTTGGGTTTTTGTTTTTTTGTTGATCTTCTAATAATTGTTTGGTTGCAGAGGACGATGAGAGGATTGAGTACATGCGACGTGGAATATCAGCCATACTTTGTTCTTGGGGATTTATGGGAGTCCTTCAAGGAGTGGAGTGCTTATGGTGCAGGAGTGCCTCTGATTTTGAATGACAGTGACTCTGTAGTTCAGTACTACGTCCCTTACTTGTCCGGCATTCAAATATACGGCCACTCTGCGAAATTGGCAACGAAGACAAGGTATTACATTTTACTCCATACTTTTGACTTAATTCGATAATCATTTGTTTCGTTGTTCAGAATAATTTCGATTTAGTTCTAGTTGATTTATAGTCACACGCATGCAGTGTTTGTATTTTCTTCATGGTAGTGAATCAGTGATTACCCAAATTTTTGTCTGCTGGATAAGTGTACTGTTATATCTCTGCAAAATGTATTTTATCCAGCATGTATTCGGAGGTAAATCTAAAACAGAATACGAATTTATTGTTGTTCTTGATGGTATGGCGTGTGCACTTATGGGAAATGGGTTTCATGGATTACTATGATTGTCTACTCTTTGCATCAGAATCTGTACTTATTAACAGAATCATTGTTTACTGAATATTGCACATTTGCTTACTTAAACTGGAATGAATTATTTCATTTGTTATTCAAAGTTTGATGTTTGTTTATTGATAGGCGACCAGATGAGGACAGTGATAGTGATTTCAGGGATTCTAGCAGTGACGGTAGCTGTGATTACGAAACTGATAGACTAAAATATCTGAGGGAGCAGCGGAATCACCAGATTCTGTCTTGTGAAATTCCTCGTACGATAGAAAGATTATCTTTGAGAGACCCACATTTACCACCCCACGAAGACTGCTCCAGTGATGAGGGCGAATCTATAAATTCTCAAGGTTGCTTACTGTTTGAGTATTTTGAACGGGACCTTCCTTATTGCCGTGAGCCTTTAGCTGACAAGGTTATAATTTCATTTCTCTCTAATCTTGTTATTTTGTTTTGAACAAATAGTAATGTATCTTGGTATTTATGACTTCCCTTTTTTTGGGTTTTGTTCTGAACTTTCCCTTTCCACAGATACTAGATCTTGCGATCCATTTTCCTGAGCTAAAGATATTAAGAAGCTGTGATATACTGCCAACCAGCTGGATATCTGTTGCATGGTACTATAAATCTCTTAGTGGGAAAAGGCTTTGTTGTTGTTGTTGTGTTTGTACACTGTCGTGTGACTAATTGGTTTTGGTGTGACCTTTTCAGGTATCCAATATATAGGATTCCAACAGGACCAACTTTAAAGGATCTTGATGCGTGCTTTCTAACGTACCATTCACTTTGTACACCTATGAGAGGTAATTCTTAGTTCTGTTAGTTTTGCTTAGGGTGAAAGTTTGTTCCCTGACTTTTGGTCTGCATAATTGATACTTTTGGGATTTTGGTCTGATTTTATAGTTTTAATCATACGTCATAGTGTGAGATGCCACATTGTTTCGTTTGGTGCTTTGATCTGATCATATATCTTTTATTCATAGAGCATACTTAGATAAGGAAATATATATTTCTGTAACTACTTATGTAATTGATTGATTTTCTTATAGATTGTCTTTTAATTTTAGCATTTACTGCATATGGGCATTTTGCATTGTTGATTAAAGAAAATTATTGTCAGTGCACCGCATATGCTGATATCTGCATAATGCCCAAGTTAATCTTGTCTTATCCCCCGTACATGCATGCATGTTCCATATCAAAATGGACATGCAATCTGGTAGACAGATATCGAGGATGACTTCATTACGTGTGAAGTATGACTAGATTTTAGCTGTGATAGTTGTTTGCTTTAGAATCATTTATAAGATTTGTATCTATTCTGGGAGGTGTTTGATCATCTTGTCTCTTTGTTGATTATGTTTCAGGTGTACAAGATGACCGTGCTCCTGTATTGACATATCCAAGTGACATGGACGGTGCCCCTAAGATGTCGTTACCTGCTTTTGGCCTTGCATCATACAAATTCAGAGGTTCCTTGTGGACGCCGAGTGGTGGATCTGAACGCCAGTTAGCCAGCTCTCTTTTGCAGGCCGCTGACGACTTTCTAAGAAGGCATCAGGTCAATCACCCAGATTTTCTGTTTTTTAGCCGCAGATGATATCAAGATGATGCTAACTATGATGCTACTACCACCGTTATAGAAGTGAAGCCTGTTTGCACGGGTTACTTGTGAAAAGTCTTTATTTTGTTGAACTCTTGGTGGCAAGTTGGTGTGCGGTGATTCTGTCGTTTGGTTTTCTGTTATTTACTACCGGAGAAAGAAAAGAAAAGGAAAACGAAAAAAGAAAGAAAAGGATGAAGGGTAACCCACAGAAGAAAAGTGAGCTTTTGGCATGAGATGAGAGAGGCTCAGTAAACAGTGAATAGAAGGAAAATATAGTTAGATAATCTACAGAAGGTCTAGCTCTAAATGAAAGTTACTGCTTTTGATGTTTGCTCGTTTCCGCTGTATTTTGTTGGTAGTAACAAGAGTACGTTAAATATAAGAGAGAAAAACCAGGCTCTTTTTTATGCCATGATATGATATGTTAATTATTAGTATGTAATCCTTCCTATCTACAAGGGGATTTTGATGTAGACATAATTGCAAGTGTTAGTTTTTGACTTCTCCCTATCTCTATCTGAATGGCATCCGTTTCATTGAATATTTAACTGCATCAAATGATGGAAATGTATTGAGGGATTTGGTTAGTTGTTGGCTGATGATTAAGTTGACGTTCTTGTGAAATTCGGAAATTGTAACGCTTTAAGCGCGCTACCGCGGTTATCTGTCTGGTTTGTCATCTGTTTCTCTTGCTAAATGAAATCGAGTTTGGGGAGTTGGAAGAAGAGTTTTTAAGCTCAGATTTGTAGGGCATGCGTTTCTTTCATAAGAAAATGCGAGTGAGGAGGAATTAACCAGCATCGTTATTAAGCAGCAGGTCATGAAACTCGGTCTCCAAATCGTGGCGATGATGGCCTTGGCAACTTTCTCCCTCTGCTCGCTCATCTTCAGTTGTTTGACGCGTGCAGAAGCATTTCTTACTGTTGCCCCCATCTGCTTCAGCCTTTTCTCTTGCTGCTGCAAGCTTGGTGCCGTATTCACTTGATATCACACCAGTCACTCTTGTACGAAAATGTTTTTCGAACCAATCTTTAGTAAAAATACAAGTTTCTTTTGGAGAAGCGCTTCAAGTGAATCATGTAAGAAGTATATAACCGGTTCTTTTTGCAGGAAGTATGTGAGTGTTTTTGAAACGCTAAAATATTTATAAGCTTCTATCTTATTTGTGGGGTTTCACTGGTGGTGGGTTTCTTTAGAAAGGCACACAATGCTGGCCCATACCATATCTAACATATAGTAAAGGCCTAATATGGGATGGGCTGCTGTTTATTAGTGTTAGGCCAAGAGGGGGTTGGTAGTTGTTGAGATTAGTTAAGTCTTTGCAGGTTTAGTGATGTGGACAGTGTCTTGGGCAGCGGATCAATCAGCATCCAACCCCCCATGATTTAAAGGATATGGATTCTCTGCCCTTCTAATTCGATGCCCTTTTCGTGCTCTTCTGTTTGTGTGGTCACGGTTAAATCACATTAATATTTTATATTATTATTTTTTTTGTCTTATTGTTTTTATAAAAAATAATATAAAATATTAGCATGGATTAACCGTGACCACACAAAACAGGAGGGTACGAGAAGGGCACCGAAATAGGAGGGCAGAGAATTCAAGTCCTGATTTAAAAGGGTGACCTGCTATTTCCGGTAAGACAACCGGGGAAGCTGGCAATCCGACAATCCCACCAGCGCTATTGCAATCTGTCCAAAATTATTATCTGGATACATGTTATAAAACGGTCCCACATCCACCACCACACTTGAAGACAAACTTTAGATGGGTCCTCTTCCTTTTTTTTTTTCTTTTTTTTTCCCTCTTTTAAATATAAAGAGTCGAATAACCCAATTTAATTTCACACCCGAATGATGTGAAATACAATTCCTTCAACATGTTGTTACATGTGTCGAGAACGGCCATACGTACTTTACGTTATCAGATTTGTGTTGTTTATATATTAAATTTAGTAATTTACCGTACGTAAGAAAATGTGTTGAAAATAAATCTTATATCAATAAAGTAGTTAGAGTTACTCCTTATTTGAAAAAGGTTAAAACTTGAAACCCGAGTAAAACTAAAGAGATTAAATCTGATTATAATTTTGTAAACTAAATAATATAAAAATTAATCATTGAATCTTTCTTTTATTAATAATATATCATTTAATTTATATATTTAATCTACAAATTAATAAATTAATGACGGTATGCAACTCAAAGTGTAGGAATCAAATCCAACGCAAGCTAAGCCGCGACAATTTCCCCATTTTTATTCGCCCAAACCAAAAAATAAACAAAAGAAAAAGAAAGTTGCCCAAATTTCTTGACTTTTTCTTTCAAAAGCAGAGAGAGATTTCTCTGTACCAACCCCACACACTCCCCACTGAGAGAGCGAGAGACAACAATGGCAGTCTCGATACCCATAGTCGCCATCGTTACCTCCCTCCATCTCATCGCCTTCATCTTCGCCGTCGGCGCCGAACGACGCCGTAGCACGGTATCCACCGCCATCTCCCTCTGTCTGTCTGTTCGAAGTTTTAATTTTTATATTTAAGTCCTTCTTCAATCCCTAACTGTAACTGTTTGTGTCTGTGAATCAGGCGAAGATAGTGCCCGATGAGTACGACGAGCGTACCTACTGCGTGTACGGCACGGATGCCTCCACGGTGTACGGACTAGCGGCGTTTGGGCTGCTTGCCGTCAGCCAGACGGTGCTTAACGTCGTCACCAGGTGTCTCTGCTGCGGCAAAGGTCTAGTCACTGGCTCCTCCACCACTTGGACCGTCTTCTTCTTCGTCTTCTCCTGGTAATTTTTACCCATTTTTTCCCCTCTCTTTAATCATTTGAGTAACTGGTATCCCTCAACTTTTAACTCAATTGGTTTAATAGTCCATAAATTAAAAATTTATTACCATTGATCCTCAACTCATCAAAAAATGTCATTCAATTAAAAATTCATTATCGTTACTCAACTTTAGTCCAATTGGAGAAATGGACCTCAACGTTAAATTAATTAGAACAATGATCCCTCAATTTTAACTTAATTGTTGCAATAGTTCTTTCAACATAACTCATTTTGATAAAATTCTGACGAAGTTGATGGAAATGATCATATCTACACGTTTTGATGAGTTGATGAACCTCAATTGTAGCAATAGTCCGTCCAACATAACTTATTTTGACAAAATTCTAATGAAGTTGAAGAAAATGATTATAGCTATCCATTTTGATGAGTTAAGGAACCAATGATAATGGATTTTTAGTTAAGGAACTATTACTTCAATTTGATTAAAATTGAGGACTATTGCTACAATTTACTCTAATCATTTTTAATTTCTTAATCACGGTTTGATGATTTGATCAACGGTCTTAATCCTTCCACCCTAGTTAGAAATAGTCAAAGTAGCTAATTCACTTTAGTATGGTGTTCCTTTGGATGATCTAACTGCTTGCTTGTGGTTGTGTGCTTAGGACTCCTTTGAAAAGGCTTTAAAATGACTAAAAGTACTTTGATGAAAGTGCTTTTGGAATTGATTCTTAGTAAAAATACAAGTAAATCTTCCTGAACAAATCATTTCAATTGCTATTGGAACCCAAAAACAGTTTCACCAAAAGCATTTTCAGTCATTTTAAAAGCACTTCCAAACATGCCCATCCTTGAGTGAACGTTGTTCTCTACTCTCTAGCATTGTGTTTGTGTAAATGGCAATCCCATTTGCTTGGTTTTGCTAAAACCAAAATCTGAAGCTTCTGAACTGTGAATTAATCAGGACAACCTTTTTGGGAGCGGAGGCGTGCTTGTTGGCTGGGTCGGCAAAGAATGCATACCACACCAAGTACCGGGGAATCTTCAAAGTAGATGACTTGTCCTGTGCTACTCTGCGCAAGGGCGTGTTTGCCGCCGGCGCTGCTCTTACGCTGTTGTCACTGGCAGGGTCAAGTCTTTACTGGGCGCATTCCAAAGCTGATACTGGGGGATGGGAGAAGCACCGAAACGAAGGCCTTGACATGAGCAGTTCTAACTACGGGCAGCACGAGCAGCATGAACAACAAACCAGTGGATTTCAGAAGGTATAATTCTGCTATTAGGTTCGTTCTTTTGCGGGGTCGGTGATTGTGGTATGAGATTGAGAAGATCATCAGTTCCGCAGTTGTGGCGGCTTTTGTCGATCGAGGGGAAGAAATGGTTGGAGCAAAATATGAAATGAGCTAGGGACTTGTATATGCTATGTCATCATATATATGTTAGAAGTGGAAGTATAAATTCCCCAATCAGATATATTCCCCAACTTTTTTTAGTTGATTTTCCATTTTTCTTGACTTCAATCTTCTGAATTTGTGGTATGCATATGTACGTTGTGTTTTGGTATATAAATATCTATGCAACACTATTATAAAAATTTCCGCCTTTGTGTTATATGCAGCTGGCCACCGTCCCGATTAATTCCTAAAGGTTTGAAAATTAATATATAATGCCTAGACCTGCCTAGACAAGATCCATGTTCGCTGTCCGATTAGCGCATTTTAGAACCTTTGGTTCTTTGGATCAGGCAAGAGCACCCAATAAAAAATTGTAATCAGAGAAGTAACTCTAGGGGACCGTTGTTTTTGACAATCAGAAACTGAATTTCAATTGATAAACCAATCAATAACAAATATCTGACAACATATCGATCAAATATAAACGACATAATTATCAAATATCGATCACATACTAAAAAATTGTCATTCAAACAATTGGGATTTAAAAATTTATCATCTCTCTCTAGTGTGATATACTGCGAAAAGAAAATTGAAAGTTTCAAACTCAAGTATAAAATCATGGGTACGCTGTTTTTGCCAACTAGCTTAATTCACATTTATCAATAGTGCTTTTTTTAATACATACGATATTATTTACATTAACGGAAGGACAATGGGCTAAGCCTCACAATAAGTTAGCTATAATAATTTGATACGAATTCTCTTTTGGCGAGAATCAAACATAAAACTTCTCATCTACAAGTGAAAATGCATAACTAAAAGGAATCAATAGTGCTATTTACATGGATTGAATTTTATACTTTTTTTTATCAACGAATCAGTGAATCAATCTGAATGCTTTCTTTAGCAACGGATCGTTGAAGTCTGTTTTTTTTTAAAGAAAATTAGATCAAGTTTCTTGAGCTCAATGAGCTGGATATTTATGCTGGAGTATGTAAAACTCCATCTAAAATAAAATAAATGTAGTAAAAAGCTTGATTAATATACCTTCAAGTTCAAGGCTTCTTCACAAACAACTTTGAAATTCATGATAAATCCATCTCCCACAAGCACAAACGCCACTACTATTAGCTATTAGCAGCTGATAATTAAGATGATAAATAAGAACGTGGTAGCTGAGATTAAGGGCTAATCAAGCTTAATCAAAGAGATTAGCATGTGTTCAACCAAAAAAAAAAAAAAGAGATTAGCATGTGGGGAATGGAGAACCGCAAGTGTCGGCGACCTTCTTGGCGTTTGGGGAGTTGACAAGCCTCTGGAGGTTGG